TCATCATTATTATCAGCAGCATCAACATCATCAGCATCATCATCGTCATTATCAGCATCAGCATCATCATCAGCAGCATCGTCATCAGCAGCAACAGCATCAACATCATCAGCATCATCATCGTCATTATCAGCATCATCATCATCATCAGTATCATCATCATCATCATCATCATCATCATCATCATCATCATCAGCATCATCATCATCATCATCATCATCATCATCATCATCATCATCATCATCATCGTCATCCCTCCTCATCCTCCTCATCTCCTCGTCCTTCTCCTCCTTCCTCTCTCCTCAAACCCCTCTTCCATATTCTCCTCCCCGAACCCTCGGCCATGCGTGCTTGAAACTGGTAGCTATTAGGTGCCAGGAGACGGGAATCGAGCTGCCCGTCGCCCAGCTTGAAATGAGCAAGGCTATTCCACAAGACCGTGCGCTTCCTCCCACTGGAGGGACAATGTACACTCACCGGTAAACGGGACGCACTGTGATGCAAAATTCACCGTGCAGATGATGATGAGAAGGAGCACGATGAGGAGGGTGAGGGAGGGAGGAGGAGGAGGAGGAGGAGGAGGGAGGAGGAGGAGGAGGAGTAGGAGGAGGAGGAGGAGGAAGAGGAGAAGGCGGAGTGTTTTTACCTAACAGGCAAGGCCTGCTATGCTGAACGCGGCTTGCGCGGCCTACCGTCTTAAGACCACGGGTAGCGAAGCGAAGCGAAGCGAAGCGAAGCGCGCAGATCCGCCAGACTGGGACCCTTGAGGGTCGGCGCGAGGGGGCCGGGGCCCTAGAAGCAAGGTGAAACATGCTATATTCTGAAGGTTGGCCTGCCGCTCACTGGAGGACGCAGCGCTGTTTGTCGCGAGCGGTATGTATCCAACGCGACGTAGACATCCTTCCATTCGGATTATGGAATTATGTCATCTTCCGACCCTGCTCACGGCGATCAGACAAAGTCCAGTTTTTGCGCAGACGTGTCGAATGGACCTGCAGACCAGAACACACAAGAGGATTCATGAACCAAGAGATGGCCGCCAGCGTCGTAGAGATGGGATCTGGAGTCGAAACTTGAAATCAGGAGTCGTAGTTATAGGAGTCGCTGTTGGAGATGCCAACACCAATGTCGGATACATGGCATCTGGAATCGGAAAGATGGACGCCGGAGTTGGAGACACGGGAGCAAGAGTCGGAAAGATTGACGCTGGATTTGGAGAGACGGGAGCTGGAGTCGGAAAGTTGGGCGCCAGAAATGGGAGCCGCCGAGGTCGGAAAGATCGGAGCACGAGCGGAATCGGAGACATGGGGACTGGAGTCGGAAAATTGGTCGCTGGAGTAGGAGAGACGGGAGCTGGAGTCGGAAGCTGGGGGCAAGAGTCAGGGCCGCGGGTGCTGGAGTCGGAAAGTCGGACACTAGTGGGAGAGAGCGGGAGTTGGAGAGACGGGAGCTGGAGTCGGAAAGAATTGACGCAGGAATTGGAGCTGGAGTCAGAAATTTGGACGCCGAAGTTGGAGAGACGGGAACGGCAGTCGGAAAGTTGGGCGCTGGAGTCTGGGCCATGGGAGCTGGAGTCGGAGAGCTGGGCGCGGGAGCCAGAAAGAATAGGAGCACGAGCGGAGTCGGAGACATGGGAGCTGGAGTCGGAAGGTTGGACGCTGGAGTTGGAGAGACTGGAGCTGGAGTCAGAAAATTGGGAGCTGGAGTCGGGGCCGCGGGTGCTGGAGTCGGACACTTCGACAGTAGTCGGAGAGAGCCGGCTTGGAGAGACGGGAGTTGGAGTCGGAAAATTCGGCGCTGGAATTGGAGAGACGGGAGCCGGAGTCGGAAAGTTGGGCGCCGGAGTTGGGGCCATGGGAGCTAGAGTCGGAAAGTTGGACGCCGTGGTGCCGGAGATGTTCATAAAGGAGCCGTCGAATGAGCGATAAATTGTCCCTCCAATCTGTGCCACGCGCAACTGTAGCAAGCAAGCTGTAACCACCAGCGGTAACCGGTGTCGTCGGATACTCTTGTGCCGTCCACCAGTTTCTGTGATGCCAGAAAGCCAACGATATCATGATCCCGTCTTTTCCGCTGCCCGCCGCGCCTCCTCTGGGCACGAGTCGTTCGTCATGCACTGGGGGTTCCCAGACCATGAATCACCTTCCTCGCAGAGAGGCTGGTCGGGAGGGGCACTGGAGTGGCCTCGAAAATCTGCCGAAGGCAGCAGAAGGGTGTGTGTGTGTGTATGTAGGTCAACGACCAAAGAGTCGAACCTACACGATATCCCGCAGGCAGAGGCAGGAAAGGAAGAGGGTTGCGAGTCCTTTTCCAGGGCGTTGCGATGAAGGCAGCGCGGTATGTTGTACCAATACCTGAGCCGATATGTCAGCGGTATGTAAAGATAGGAGGAGGAGGAAGAGGAGGAGGAGGAGATAGAATGGTGATATGAGGGGACTTCACACACGCAAAGGGCGCGAGGGGAGCAAGGCGGCGGAAGCAGCCTCGGCCGGCCGCCTCGCCGAGATCTCTTCGGGAGCGAGGCCGTCGTCCCCCCCGCCCCCCTGGGGCCCCGTCGGAGGCGCCGCCGGCGGGGGCCAAAGCGTCACCCAAGGCGCGCGGCGGCACTGGCCGATCGTCCGTGGGCAGCCGGCCAGTCCGAGGGCCTCGTGACTCCCAGAAACGACTGGATCGAAACGCCGTGGCCGAGCCTCGCACGACGCCTCCCGAGCATGCCTCGGCCAGGGAAGCGGCATGTTCGCGAGAATGGCTACCACAAGCGCTGCAGAACACAGAACGATGCACAGTTCACAGCCTGTGCCGTCACCCTTCGGCCTCACAGTTAGTTGGGAGGCCCGATGGGACAAGGCCACGGTGCATGCACAGCATGCAACGACACCGCCCGGGCAACTTCTCAAGGTCAAGGCGGCCGCCAGCCTGGGCGCCGCCGCTTAGGTGCAGAAAAAACCTCCCTCTGTTCCAGGACCCGATGACGACTCTGCTGGGGAAAGGGCCCAGCGTGGAGAAAACGCGCAAGGTACTTGCCAACCCCCTGAACCGAGTTGGTGAGCACCCGCGACCCTCTTCTCGCCCTCACAACTTCTAGGGTGGAGGGCAGCACTCTGCTCTGGCCGCGGAGTCGGCCACACGATTGCTCAGGCAAAATACCGAGCAGTATCGAACTGGACGCGACTCACACATGCCTTTTTGACATTGCGAGCCTGAAACCCAAGCTCGAAGTTAATTGATTAACCAACAAATGACCCACAACTCTTTGGGAAGGACTTAAGTTAGGAAGGCCAAAAACATTAGGGATAAGGGCTTGCGCTGCAGATGTACCGAATCAAACCGCCCAGAATTCTTATCCCGAATACACAGACGCGGACCTAAGTGAGGCCACGTTGTCAATATACTGATAGGGTTAGGGGTTGTTGTATCCTCGATGAGAAATCGTCGAGGGCATTCCAAATTATCGTCGACAAGTCGGCCGCCACGCAGCCCGAACGAGTGGTCTCCACCCGCAGAGGAGGCCACGACCCCAAAGACTGTCAGAGAAAAACGCGTCATCGCCCGCAGCACGACGCGTGAGGCACGCTAGCAGAGCCCAACCTTCGGCGATCTCCGAATCCTGAAGCGGGACAGGCACAGGGACACACATCGTATAGAACACTGTGCCCAGAGGGTCGAGGAGGAGGAGGAGAAGGAAGGGAGAGAGGGAGGGAGAGAGAGAGAGAGGGAGGGAGGGAGGGAGGGAGGAGGGAGGACGGAGGAGGGAGGAGGAGGGAGGGGGGCGAGAGAGAGGGAGAGGGAGAGGGAGAGGAAGAGGGAGGGGAAGGGAGGAGAGGGAAGGAGGGAGGGAGGGAGGAAAGGGGGAGGGAGGGAGGGAGGAAGGGAGGCGAGAGGATGGAGAGGAAGGGAGGGAGGGAGGAGCTTGAAACGCCCGCGCCCCAGGGGGCGCGGGAGGCACACAGCGCGGGGGCGCTGCCCGGCCTCTTGAAAGTGAGAGCCTGGCCCTGGGGAGCGACGGGCCGCCGTGCGCCCGCGCGCGGTATAGGGGGCGCGCGCGCGCGGGGGGGGGGGGGGGCGCGGTGGCGGTAAAGGCCCGCTTGCCGACCTCCCCTCGCGCCCGCAGGTGGGGACGGGAACTGGGGGCTGGAGCGAGGGAAGGGAGGGGAGGGGGAGGGGAGGGGAGGGGAGGGGGAGGAGAGGGGGGGGGGGGGGAGGGGAGGGGCGGGGAGGGGAGGGACGGGGAGGGGCGGGTTGGAGGGGGGGGAGAGGACGGGGAGCACCTGGGAGGATTGCCTGAGACGCACCTGCGCGCGAAGGAGGAGGGGACGGGAGGGCTGGAGGGAGAGGGGAGGGGAAGGAGGGGAGTGCTGGCGGGAGGGTGAAGACGTGGGCGCCCGGGACGGGTGAAGAAGGAGCGGGCACGATGCCCAACAGCAGGTGCTGCCCAAAACCGACGGCGGCCGCTGCTGAGCAGGTGGCCCTCGGTCTCAGACGGGCAGGGGCCCCGGCCTCGCCGACAGCGAACCCTGTCCAGAATGAACGAGGGCTGGTGCTGGGCTTTGTACGGTCAAAAACCCTAATAAGGACGCGCGGTAAGGACGCAAGACCCTTGGAAGCCGAAGTTGGGAATTTTGGGGGCGGCGGACGACGAAAACCTCAAGGACGCAAGAGCAAGGAAGAGCAAGGACGCAAGGGTACCCTAAGCAAAGTCGCGCGTCCTTACTAGGGTTTTTGACTGTACCCATGGTTTCCGTACCAATTTCGATCGTCCCGAGAGGAGGGTTGGAAGGAGGGAGGGAGAGGAGAGGGGGAGGAAGGAACGTGGGGAGAGGGGCAAGGGGAGGAGGGAGCCGAGGGGGCAAGGGAGATGAGGGAGAGGGAGTGAGGACGCAACCGGATGTCTCACCAGCCGCTTCTACCCCTGTTCGCTGGCTGTCGTGCTCTTCGGCAAGACTCCAGTGAGTCACCTGGACGTCCCCGTCGCGACCGCGTCGCGGGCTCGGGCGACCACCTCAGTACAGCTCGAGGTTGTACCTGCCGTCCTCGTGCATCTTCTCCACGTAGTCCTGCGCCTCTTTGTCCGTCATCCCCTTGCTGCCCGACCTGATTGAGTCCTTGATGGCGTTCTCAATGTCCGTCTCCACCGCACCGGCCTGCCCGCAGAGATAGAAGTAGCCCTGGTGTGTCTCGAAGTCCTTGTACAGGTCCTTGGCCGCATCCTGCATCTTGTGCTGCACGTAAATTTTCTCCTTCTGGTCACGGCTGAACGCCACGCGAAGCTCCGTGAGCACTCCCTCCCTCTGGTACTCCTCCAGCTCCTCGCCATAGCAATAGTCTTTCGCGCGGTAGCGGCAGCCGTAGAAAAGCCACATGGGGCCCACGTCGTGACCCAAGCGCTTGAAGAAGGCACGCTCCTGGATAAACGCGCGGAAGGGCGCCAGGCCAGTTCCCAAGCCCGTCATGATCATGGGCTGCATCATGGAGGGCGGGAAGTTGAAGGTCCCCGAGGTGATCCCGCAGGGCACCTGGAAGCTCAAGAATGGGTCACTGTCAGTAGCCAGGCGGTTCACGTAGTCCGTGGAGGTGCCGATCTGGAACTTGCCACCTGGAGTGTTCCAGTCGTTGATGACAATCATCAGCTCGACCTTCTACCAGAACTATCAAACGTGTATTAACATCCGCAGTTCCGCGAGGATTTCTCGGGTCGGCACTGGGTCTCCCTCCCCACAACCACTCTCTGGAGCGCGGAACGCTCCAGCACCTACCCAAAAAAAACTGCGCGGACCTCCGAACGTTTGTGGCTACGCCATCTTTTTCTCCGAACCTTGTCGTTCATTGCACGCTGGGATGATGCAATGGAGTACAGGCGCGGCTTGATGCACGGGATCATGCTGAGCAGCTGCTCCAACGGAGGCTTCGCAGACGGGAACTGCCGCAGGAGCTCCTCGTACGTCGTGGTCTCCGTGGCCAGGTCGGCATAAGCCTGCTTGCCCTCGGGCGTGTCGCCCGCCAGCAGTTCCAGGCGCGCCTTCTCGGCTGGGTCCTGAGCGAACTTGGACAGCGTCTTGATGACAGAAGAACGCAAGACGGCACGAACATGAACTTTCGGAGCCCCGCGCAGATCTCTTGGGCCGGCGCTGGACTTCCCTGGCGGTGCCTCCAGCGCCGACCCAGGATCCGCGGGGACCTCCGAAAGTGTGTGTCCACGTCGACTTCTGTTCTCCCAGATAAAGAACTTGTTCGGCCGTCCCAATACGTCGACAACCTCGGTCAACATCTGCTGGGCGGTCAGCGGCCGCTGGTATGCGGACTTGCGTCGCTTGTCCACGTCCTCCTGAGTGGGCCTCACGTGGAAAACCTCGTCTGGGTCCACGCCGTAGAACTCCAGGAACTGGCGCACGCGGGCCGGGTCGTTCTGAGGGAAGATGTTCAGCGCGTCGCCCAGGAGGTACGAGAAATCCTTGCCCGCGATGTCGAAGCTGAGGTGGCGGATGATGCGGTCGTGCTCCGGATGCGTGATGCGCACGTTCTTCTCCAGCGTGATCATCTTGGTGCCAGGGGGCACAATCTGCCGGTACGACCACTCGCTGGAAGGCACCGAGGTGAGCTCAAACATCGGATCGGGGATCTTATCCGCGTCGGCGGGCTCCGGGGCGCCCTGGACCTTCCGATCAACAAAACGGCATAACACACAATTTCTCGGTGATCCGCGCGGATTTCCTGAATTGGGCGCTGGAGCCCCCTCCTTGGCGCGCGGAGCGCGCCAGGGGCGGCGCCAGGGGGGCCCAACGCCGATCCAAGAAATCCGCGTGGACCTCCGAGAAATTCTGCTTATGCTGTTCTTTGTTCTTCGAGGCCTTCCAGAACTCGGGCATCCACTCGTCCAGCGCGGTCTCGTACTTGTCGTCGTCCTGGTCGTCGCCCAGCCCGACGGGCTGCCGCCTCTCGCCGCCCAGCTCCTCGAACTTGGCGTCTATCTGCTTGGCCGCCTTGTTGAAGTGGCGGTAGCCGCGGTCGCCGAGACCGAATACGTGGTAGTGCATCCCCGCCAGCGCGTCTGGCGCGTGGGTGCCTAGCATGAGGAGGAGGAGGAGGCGGAGGAGGAGGAGGAGGGGGAAGAGGAGGAGGAGGCGAAGGCGGAGGAGGAGAAGGAGGAGGAGGAGGAGGGGGAGGAGGAAGAGGAGGAGGAGGGGGAGGACAAGGACGAGGAGGACGAGGAGAATAGTCGCCTTCTGCGGGGCACCCCCCCGAGCCTGGGGCGGGGGCCGCGCCCCCCACGACCCGCGGCGGCGACGAGCGCGGCGCCCACCAGCGCCACGCCTACCAGCGCTGCCTGGCAACGCCTGGCTGGCGGGGCGCCCGCGACCAGCTGCGCACCAGGAGCCAACACGTTCGAAACGCGCTACGATTTTACCAGCGGCGGCTCGAGCTGCCCGGGACACACCCACGACCAGCACGTTCGCCCGCATCGTCGAGGCCAAGCACATGTGCGGCAAAACCGCCGCCCTGGAGCCCATGACCCAGGCACTGCGGCGATTCGCTGGCTCGCCCACGCGGCGCGCGAAGGCAAGAGCCTCGCCTCTCTACCGGCTTAGACTTGGCCGCGCGCAGGTGCCTGTAGCCTTCCGCGCAAGCAGGACAGCGCTGCGCTCACGAAGGAGGTCCACAAGAACATTATCGCCCAGGCTGGTCCCACTGCCCCTTCGCCACCTGCCTGTCTGCCCAGCACCTCGACGTACAACTACGAGCCCGCCGCCCATTTCGACTACAACAGCCTCCATGGCGAGGCCCAGGCCGACGTGGCACAAGAGGCCGCTCATCCCAACTGTCGCAAGGGCGTTTTCAGCATGTGGAGAGAAGCGCCCATCGTCGTGTCGGTTATCGATCTGCAGATCCTGCCGTCCTACCTTCCAACAGTAGCCGACACCCACAGCGAGGCAACAGAGGACCTCGGCCTCTTGCACCATCCTGCCACCTGCCCGAGGCTGGAGGCGCAGAAGAAAGGGGGTCGGGCATCTCTCTCGTCCTCTCCTGCACTGGCGGCGCCGCGTGAGAGCACTGGCTTCCACTTTGGACGCCCGACATGGGTACCGAAAAAATGGGTACGATGCCCAACAACAAATGTTGTCCCAAACCAACAGCGGCCGCTGTTGGGCAGGCGGCCTCCTGTCTCGAATGGACACAGGCCACGGCGGCGTGGACAGCGAGGCCTGTTCAAAATGAACAGGAACTGCTGTTGGGCATTGTACTCATTCTTTCGGTACCCATTTCGGGCGTCCAGATCCACGGCACCGCCAGCGACCGCACCAACCAAGCCGACAACAAGCCGACCCCGAAGAACCTCGCCGACTCCACCGGCCACGACGCCGAGCCCCCCTTGCCCACCGCCAGCTTCGTCACCAGCGCCGCCGGCGACTTCGACGAGATCAAGGAGACCGAGGACCTCTGGAGGCTGGAGGCACATGAGGATGAGGGTCCGAGTCCCTGCCCCGCCGCCGCGGCCGCTCACCCTCCAGCTGGAGAAGGAGGAGGGGGAGGGGGAGGGGGAGGAGGAGGAGGAGGAGAGAGAGAGAGAGAGAGAGAGAGGAGGAGGAGGAGAAGAGGAGGAGGAGGGGGGAGGAGGAGGAGGAGGAGGAGGAGGAGAGGAGGAGGAGGAGGAGGAGGGGAGGAGGAGGAGGAGGAGGAGGAGGGGAGGAGGGGGAGGAGGCGGGAGGAGGAGGAGGAGGACGAAGGAGGAGGCGGAGGAGGAGGAGGAGGAGGAGGAGGAGGAGGAGGAGGAGGAGGAGGAGGAGGAGGAGGAGGAGGAGGAGGAGGAGGAGGAGGAGGAGGAGGAGGGGGAGCCAGCAGCTGGCAGGAGGAACGCCTCGTTTGCTACTGCCTCCGAGGGGGCCGCCCCTCCCTTGGCCTACTTGGGCGCTCCACCCCGTTGACTCGGGCAGGAGCCCAAAAGAAATGGATTAGATGGAAATCCCCCCTCAAGATCCGCCCGGAGCCCCCCCTCAGATAGCCCTGCGCGGGCTGTCGCCAGGGACCCGCCCCCGTCGCCGCGGCTGGGACTCGCCTCGACATCATGAACCGAGGCCTCCAGCTGCCGCCACCAGGTTCACCAGGAGGATGATCCGTTTCGCCACAGAGAGCGACGCCGACCCACGAGCGCGACTCCCAGAACCACGAGCCCCCCTACGGATATGATCCAGGGGTCAGCGCCAGCACAAACCCCGACTTAGACGCTGGTTACGCCCAGACCAACAACGCAATACGTATCTCTAGCACTCGCGAGCTAGACGTCTCCAGGGTCCAGGCCACCTTCTCGCTATTTGGGCCCATCCACGCTATGCAGGCCGATGGCAGATCAGTGACGGTCCGACATTCCAAGGAGGAAGCGGCGCTCAGAGCGCAGAAGACAATGAACGGCAAAACCTTGTAGAACCAGACCTACGAGGTGCGTATCATTGACGCTCCAGCCTCACCGTCCTCGCCATCGATCCCTCTGCCTTCTCAGAGACCAGCGACTACGCCGACGACAACCCCTACGCCTGCGCCGACGGCGCGAACACCAACACTTGCGACAGCACCAAGCCCAGCACCAACGACAACGCCTAGAAGCGCGACTTCCCCATCGGCGTCGCCCCCTCGGAGGTGTCCTGTCCGTGCGCCGCCTTCCCACCAGGGGGCAGGGGTCGACGGCGGCCTTCGAGGAGGGGGGGGCCCGCGTGAGCTGGGCCCGCGGTGGCGGCGGCCCGCGGCTGCAGCGCCCCCGGGGGGGAGCAGTGGGGCCGCCCCCTGGGCCCAACGCCGCCCTGGGGGGGGCGCCCGGAGGGAGGGGAGGGGAAAGGGGTGGACGGTGGACTGCTACCCACCAGGCCACCCCAACCTGACCCGAAGACCCGAATTTCGGGCTGGGGGGGGGGGTATGGGTTCCACACGTGGTTTTTCCGTGTTCCCCGACCCCCCCCCCACTGGAGATGGAGTGCAAATCGGGGCCTTCGGGTTGGGTTGGGATGGTTTGGTGAGCGGCGAGAGGTGGACCCCGCCGCCGGCCGCCGCCCGCAGGAAGCGGCCCACGTTCGGAATGGCTCCCGCACGCGGCGCGATGTGGCACCTGCAGGCGGGCACCATTGGCAGCGCCTCGTGGAGACACTGATACCATCAGCCTGCCACCTGCAGGAAGAGGACGACGACGAGGAAGCGGAGGAAGAGAGGAGGAGGAGGAAGAGGAGGAGGAGGAGGAGGAGGAAGCGGAGGAGGAGGAGGAGAAAGCGGAGGAGGAGGAGGAAGAGGAGGAGGAGGAGGAGGAGGAGGAGGAGGACCCTCGGAGAAGGTGTCCCAGAACTTGGTGGCCGTCCCGGGCATGTCGCCCTCGCCCGCGGTGGAGCAGAGGACCTCGGGAGACTGCCGATACCGCTGCTCTCTGGACCTCCCCTGGGGTGCGTTCCGACAAGAATTCCAAGGCGAATCCAGCCGCGGCGGCGAGGGCTCTACAAGAAGCCCAGAAGGACGCCAGCGAGGGAAGGGAAGGAAACCGGAAACGGTATGTGTTGTTCTTCTGAGGACCAGCACGTTCTTGTGTTCGGACAGGTCCTCGACACTGCCGATCTCGTCCAGATCCAGGATGCTCACGCTGTAGCCGCGCGCCTCTAGAGGAAGAAAAACCTGCACAACCATAACCTGTCGAAGCTCCGCGCTGACTTCTTGGACCTGCGCTGGAACCCCCTCCCTGTCGCGCGGAGCGCGCCAGGTGCGGCGGCGCTGGAGGCGCCGCCAGGGGGGGCCCAGCGCCGATCCAAGAAATCCGCGCGGAGCTCCGAAAATGCATGCGTATGTTATTGTTAAGTCGGGCATGTCCTCCTACAGGCAGATTTTGAAAGAAAAATTAAAAATCGCAACAAAATACTCCAAAATTGCATCAGAGAAAAACCCCAATCAGTGGATGGTTTTCGCTGAACAAACCGGGAAACGGGGAGCCTGGGAACCCAGAACCCACCGAAATCGGCCTGGAACCAATAACAGGGAACCCGGGAACCCGGAACCCGGGAACCAGCCTGCTACCAAAATCGGCGGGAAACTTTCGCCAAATCCTTCAACTTCCGCTAGGACCCCTTCAGTGCAAGCACTGATTGTGGAATAATCAGGCATAATCGGAAAAGCTTCCCCCGACGATTTTTGGACCATCCTTCAACGTTCCGCCCGTAGGGGGGCAGGCCCGACTTAATGTTGCCGTTTGTTCCCCAGGCTACAGCCGCGCGCCTCGCACATCTTCTTCGTCCGCAGCGCGAGCTCGGCGGCCGTGCCCGTGTCGCTGCCCACCAGGATCGTCAGGGGGGCGCCCGTGGACTCCCCCACGTCCTCGCCGGCCGCCATGCGCTTGAACTTGTCGTGCCTTGGCGGCGCGCAGAGGGGGGTGCAGGGCAGTTTTTCAACACATAGGATGTTTAAAAATCGGAGGTGAGGGGGTGAGATCGAAGTGGAACGGAGAGCCCCCCTACCGGGAAATCGATTTCGGTTTCGTGTTCGTGCGTGCCATGCGTGCGGGCGAGGCGAAGCTGCGTGGGCGGGCGAGAAAAAAATCTCCTGTGGCTGAGGCGCGGCCGGACCAAATGTCTCCCTTCCGGGCGGCCGGGGCCCCGCGGTGTCCCGCCGGTGTCCCGCTGGTGTCCCGTGTGGCTGAGGCGCGGCCGGACCAAATGTCTCCCTTCCGGGCGGCCGGGGCCCCGCGGTGTCCCGCCGGTGTCCCGTCGGTGTCCCGTCGGTGATGATGATGATGATGATGATGATGATGATGATGATGATGATGATGATGATGATGATGATGATGATGATGATGTTGACAACGATGATGATGATGGTGATGATGATGGTGGTGATGATGGTGAGTTCGGTAGTGAGACCGAATGTGAGATCGATTGTGAGATCGATTGTGATATCGATAGTGAGGTCGATAGTGAGACCCAATGTGAGATCGATAGTGAGATCGATAGTGAGTTCGATAGTGAGATCGATAGTGAGACCGAATGTGAGATCGATTGTGATATTGATTGTGATATCGATAGTGAGATCGATAGTGAGATCGAACGAGAGGTCGATCATGACTTCGATAGTGAGTTCGATAGTGAGATCGATAGTCAGATCGATTGTGAGATCGATTGTGAGATCGATTGTGATATCGATAGTGAGATCGATAGTGAGACCGAATGTGAGATCGATTGTGAGATCGATTGTGAGATCGATCGAATGAGATCGATAGTGATATCGGTAGTGAGATCGATCGTGAGACCGAATGTGAGATCGATCGTGAGATCGATAGCCAGATCGATTGTGAGATCTATTGTGAGATCGATGATGATATAGATGGTGAGATCGTTAGTGAGATCGAGTGTGAGATCGATAGCCAGATCGTTTGTGATATTGATCGAATGAGATCGATAATGAGATCGATAGCGAGATCGATAGTGAGATCGATCGAGTGCGACGGTGGTCCCCCCCCCCTCGCCTCCTTATCACCCGAAGGGTGGTCTATGCGGTATAGGATGCTTAATACATGATTGGCTTATGAATAAAATGATGCATGAAGTCATCGTTGCTTCTAATACTAAATCCCTGCGTGTTTAGTACATGATCCGCACGCGGAGCATGTATTAAAAACGGCACTGTAGGAGGAGGGGGGAAGGCGCCTTAGAGCGAGGCTGCTTCTTAGAAGACGCCAGCCTTGCATTCATGGATAAGGCCGGCACCTTCCGCTTCCAAGAAGCCGTCCCCCTCCCCCTACCCCACTCTGCGCGTGGCCGAGTGCCTGCGGGTCACGAACTCCTGGAGGGAGGCCTTCATCTGGTCCGCGACCTGTGGAGGGGACGCAGGCGGATATGCTGGGTATGTGCGATGTGCTGATGCTGGGAACCCACGTCCGGCACGAGCATATAGCTCACGGAAAATATAGCGCATCGCTGCCCGAGCGGCATGGCCAGAAAGCGCCCGCCGCCGAGATATACTAAGAGATTTCTATGCGCGCGCGTCGCCCCTGCGAGGCCCGCACTCCTGGCATAAGTATGTTTGGGTGATGCCGATTCAGAGCAGGGAGAGAAAACTGCATGAAGATAAACTGTCGGAGGTCCGCACGGATTTCCTGGACTGGCGCTGGGCCCCCCTGGCGGCGCCTCTGGCGCCGCCCCTGGCGCGCAGAGCGCGCCAGGGGCGGCGAGTCAAGAAATCTGCGCGACCCTCCGAAAGTCTACGTTTACGCCCCTTGCTCTCATTCGAGACCTCGGGGTTGGTGCGGGTCAGGGTCATGAAGCGGTTCTCCGTGGAGGTGAACTCCTCCACGGTGCGCGTGAGGCGCTTGCTGTCGAGCCGGAAAGGGTTCTCGCCCTTGCCGGGGGGGCACACAGGCGGGGTGGATGCCAAGGCGGGGTTGGAGGGAAAATCGCTCCGGACGGCCCCTGGAAGAAGGAGACGCGTTAAACGGGAGCATCTGGCCGGGCCCGTTCCCCCCCCCAGCCCCACCTTGGGATGACCACCCCTCTGCGAACCCCCGACCTTGGCCCGTAGGGCGGGGTTGTACCGGTAGAGCGTCCAGTAGCCCGCCTCGACAGCTTCCTCAGAAGGAGGGGCAACAGGACAGGCACAGGCTGGCGGAGCTCCGCGCGGAGCTCTTGGGTCTGCGCTGTCCCCCCGCCGCCCCCCCCTGGCGCAGGACGCGCCGCCATGGAGGGGGGGCCACCGCAGATCCAGCAGATCCGCGCGGACCCTCGAAAACTTCTTTCCTGCTTACAGGCTCTCGGCACGATAGACTTGCTGAAGCTGCGGTCGCAGCTCGGCCTCTTTCTCTTTTGGCCGTGTCGGATTCGTGTGGAAAGCCCTGATGCTCGTCGTGTTTGTTGGATGCTCTTGTGCACCCTGGGGAGGGTACCCTTGGATGGTCTGTGCGTTTTGGCCGACGGAGGGTCTCATGTTCTTGAGGGATGTTCCTCTGTCCTCAGCCTGTATGTATGCAGTTTGTTTCTCTTCGACTCCTGCATGACGCTCTCCAGGTGCGACAACCCGCGCGGGAACAGGATCTTGTGCTCGATGCAGGGCGAGTAGGCCAGCAGCATCGACGGTCCCTCGAAGGCCTCCGCCTCGAGGAAGGCCTTCACGGACTGCCCGTAGTCCGCGCCGATGGCCATGGAGCCCACGTAGACGTGCTCGTAGCTCATGGCGATGGCGCCGAGGTCCTTGCCACAGGGCGGAGCAGCGACAGGAGGAGATCTCCGACACCAGGATTTTTTCATTCTGGGCCTTTCTGTTCGGCCTCCAGGGCCCGTCATCGGGCCCCGAGACCATCGAAAGTGGATCCTGGACGGAAAATTACCTCCAGGGGAAGATGGTCGGGGCCTCTGGGGTCGCGGAATGGGTCCTTCTTGGCCAGGCGGTAGCCCGCCGGGGCGAACTTCTGCACGCTGCCGTAGTTGGTGGCCTTGCTGACCTGCCCGCCGGTGTTGCTGTAGCCCTCGGTGTCCATGACCAGCACGTTGAGGTTGATGTCGCGCGACTGGGCGAGCACATGGTCCAGCCCGCCGAAGCCAATGTCGTAGGCCCAGCCGTCGCCCCCCCAGATCCAGGGCGACACCTTCACAAACGCGTCCTCCATGGAGAAGATATCCTGCATAATCGGTGCGCTCCTCAGAATCTCAGTGTTGGTGTCAACCTTGGCCGTGACGCTGTTGCGGAACATGTCCATCGAGCCCGCCTTCGACGCGAGCGTCTTGCCCCCCTTTTTCGCGGAGGCAAGCGTGCCGTCCTGCACGCCCTTCAGGTCCTCCTTGATCGCACGGGCGAGGCGCTGCGAGATCTCCGGGTCGTCCTTGTGCATGAGCCACTCGGCCATGTTCTCCCGGAGCCGCGCGGGCATGAGCCCGAGAACCAGCTCGTGCTCCTCGGCGTTCAGCAGCGAGTCCACCCGGGCCACCAGCTGCCCACGGCGCTGCTTGATGGACTTGGCCATGCCGAGGCCGTACTCGGCCGCATCCTCGAAGAGCGAGCGGCCGTAGGCGGGGCCCTGGCCGTGCTCGTTCTTGGCGAAGGGGCTGAAGGCCGCGGTGCCGGACCAGACGGAGCTGCAGCCGGAGGCGTTCGCGATGAGCAGGCGCTCCCCGAAGAGCTGCGTGGCCAGCTTCGCGTACGGCGTCTCCCCGCAGCCCTCGCAGGCGCCAGAGAATTCCAGCATGGGCTTCTGGAACATCGCGCCCTTCACCGTGCTCTTCTCGACGTAGCTGCCCCTGTCGGGCAGCTTGATGCCAAAGTCCCAGTTCGACTGCTCCATGTTAACCACCTCCGGCAGCGGGGTCATCGTGAGCGCACCGTCGCCGCAGGTGTTGCTGCAGGCCTGGCAGCCAGTGCAGTCGTCCGGGGCCACCTGCGCGACAAAGAGAAACGGGCCTCACGCGAGAAGACATAGCGACCTTACGCCGCGGCTTCCGCGGGCCGCCAGCGTGGCGCGCGACATTGGGAAAGAGGGCGCTCACGCGCGACCTTGGGCGGGAGGCTTACGCGCGAGCGCCAGCGCAGTCGATCCCGCGTCCTTCCGCGGCCCACCTGGATGCGGTACATCAGCCCAGCGGTCTCGATGCCCCCCTTGGCCTTCACCATCTCGAAAGTCTGCGGGGCCCTGTCAGCCTCCACCTGCGAGATGAGGAACGGTCGGATCGCCGCGTGCGGACAGATGGCCGCACACTTGTTGCACTGCGTGCACTTGTCCATGTCCGTGACGGGCACCGAGAGGGCGAAGCTGCGCTTCTCGTACATGGTGGTGGCGGTGGGGAAATGGCCGCGCGGGTCGAAGGCCGACACCGGCAGGTTGTCCGCGTCCAGGGCGCTCATCTTGTCCATCACCTCTGTGCAAAATGCTGGGCGGCCTGGATCCACTGGCGTGTGGTCCACGGCGGAGAGCCATTCGTCCCTCGGGAAGTGGATCCGGTGGAGGTTCTCGAACGCCTGGTCGACTGCTTTCAGGTTCCTCTCCACAATGTCCTTGCCCTTGGCCTTGTAACTTTTGCGCATGGAGTCCTTGAACAAAGAGATGGCCTCGTCGACGTCGAGCACCTCCGACAACTTGAAGAATACTGCTGTCAAGATGTTGTTCGTGTGCCGTCCGAGGCCGCATGCCTTCGCGACCGCGTTCGCATCGATGGTGTAAAGCTTGATGTCGCGCTCGGCCGCGATGCGCTTCATGACCGCGGGCAAGACCTGCGAGACCTCCTCGGGTGTCTTCTGGCGAATGTTCAAGACGCAGGTGCCGCCTGGGGCGATGGTGGCCCAGAGCTGGTCCTTGAACTTGGGCACCCAGGTGCTCTGCGAGCACGAGATGAAGTCCGCCGACATGATGTTGTATGACGACTCGATGCGCTCGGGGCCGAAGCGCAGGTGCGAGACGGTGCAGCCGCCAGCCTTCTTGCTGTCGTAGACGAAGTGCGCCTGCACGTGCTGGTCGGTCTGCGTGCCGATGAGCTTGATGGCGTTCTTGTTGGCGCTGAGAGTACCGTCGCTGCCCATGCCCCAGAAGAGGCACTGCTTCGTCCCTGGCGGGCACAGGACTGGCTCTGGCTCGGGCACCAGCGACGTGTGAGTCACGTCGTCTTCGATGCCAATGGTGAAGCCGTCCTTGGGCAGCGCCTTCCGCGCATTCTGGAAGACGGAGAGCACCATGCCAGGAGTCAGGTCCTTCTGGCCCAGGCCGTAGCGGCCTCCCAGCACGGTCACTGGCACCTGCGCTGTCTGCATGGTCGAGGCCACGTCCAGGAACAGGGGTTCGCGGGAGCCGCTCTCCTTGGTGCGGTCCAGCACTGTCACAGTCTTCACGGTGGGCGGCAGAGAGTTGATGAACGAGGTGCTGTCCCACGGGCGGAAGAGGTGCACGTTCACCTGGCCGACCTTGACACCCTTCTCGTGCTCGGCCTTGACCACCTCGTTGATGACGTTGCACGAGCTTCCCATAGAGACTATGACGTGCTCGGCCTCTGGGTGGCCCTTGTAGTCGAAGATCTTGTAGTGACGCCCCGTGATGGCACCGATGTCGTCCAGCACGCTCTGCACAATGCCGGGCACGGCGTCGTAGTACAGATTGGACGCCTCAGCGTTCTGGAAGAAAGTGTCGCTGAACTGGCCCTGCTGGCGCGCGTGCGGCCTGTTCGGGTGCAGGCCCCTGCGGCGGTACTTGTGGATATCCTCCCAGGGCACGAGCTGGTTCATCGCTTCGTACGGTATCACCTCGGGCTTGTTGATCTCGTGGGAGGTGCGGAAGCCGTCCTGGAAGCAGACGAAGGGCACCGAGGACTTCAGGGTGGCCACGTGCGCTGCCAGGGACATGTCCATGACCTCCTGCACGTTGTGGGCGCTCAGGATAGCGAAGCCCGTCTGCCGGACCGCCATTACATCCGTGTGGTCGCCGAAGATACACAGCGCGTGCTTCGTGAGGGCACGCGCGGCGACGTGGATGACGCAAGGGTTGAGCGCGCCCGCGAGGATGTACATGTTGGGGATC